TTTCTACTGTCATTTACATCGTAAAAGTATCTCCTCTTCAACTTACCAATGACAATCCTGATGGTATCCTATATGCGTTCGTAAGCTTGTTAAAATATACTACTGCGTTGATGTCCTCTTGTAAAAGCTGAAATCCAACAAATGCTTTGATCCATGCTACATCTCCGTGTTGGAAAAGCCCTTTCATCTCCGTTCATGATAACATCTTACCCTATTCTACGCAAATCTGTCACATCTACTCTCAAACAAGACGCCAACTTCAAACGAAAACGCGTTCTACGATGCGTCTACACTCCATTTACATATCATTGGCGTTGACTGGTCCGAGGTCGATCTTGTTCGCCTGTTTTCGGCGTCTTGACGCCCGCGCAATGCGAGCTTGTACCTCTGCACTCGCCGAGATATGGCCACCTGTGTAGCCACCGAAACGATCTGAAGATGTCGTTCCTTGAAGACTCCTTTCAGAGCCATCGTTCCTCCGTCCCTTCCTCCCACGGCATGTGTCGCAAGTTCATCGATGAACTCGTAACCCTCCTCTCCAAGGCGGTCTAAGCTTTCCACGGCTAAGGTGGTAAGTTTAAAGCTGCGTTCGTCAAAGGACACGTGTCCCGGACGAGCGTAGTGCTGACGCTTTCGCGCCTCGGATGCGTGGGCTGCGATTCCATCGCTGGTCGCGCTGCCGTTCCGCAAGTATATATAGATGACGTGGATAGTCGTCTAGTGGTGATTGGTGTAGGTCTCGCCGCATCTAGGCGCGGCGGAATACAGGTTAGGCCGCGTGTTTTATTGAATATCACACACCCGAGAGGCCGACACATCCCAACGGTCGAACCGAGAGCACGCTGCCGGCGTCACCAGCGCCCACAGATTTCCCCAGGGCCTCCCACCATATCCCGCTTACGCATCCGAGATCGAATTGCTCGCAAGAAGCGAGCACTGCTGCTGATGCAGTGGCAGCAGTCCTATAGCCTCTACACCAGCATGTGGTTCGCTTCCCACGTCGCGGTCATGTACACTCTGGGTCGCCTGGCCATCGATGATATCCCGACCGGTGCTGCACGGAGGGACGTAGACAACTTCTTCAGCCCTCAGGATTGCGTGGGGTTTATGAGGTTTACGCGAGACCAGGTAATTCTATCTATTGAGTGACGTTGGTAACGCTGGTGCTGTGTTGCTGCTGTGTGCCTGCTGTGTGTGCCTGCTGCTGTCGGGAGTGGACAAAGAAAGACAGATAGACCATGACCGCACACAAAAGACCGCGAGTTGTGCTGTGACGAGAGCGACACCCGAAGGCACGAAATGCACACAGCAAGGTTGAGTGTTTTGTCAACGAACGGCTACTACTGCATGTATTGTGACAAACACTATCATGCTGCTTCGGATCTTTTTGTGCGGCAGATCGTACTCATGCTGGAACATGCGGAGGCGGTTTACAACAAAGGTTGTCCCCTGACACACTGTTGGGCCTTCATCGGCGGAACTGTGCGCGGTATTGCAAGGTATGATCCGGAAGCCGTGCCCCGGTTGATGGGTGGTAGTTGTAAAAAAGCACTTGGGTGAAACGGCGTCATGTATGTCCCGCTACATTTGTATGTCTACTTTGGCGAACGGTAGCTAACCACAACAACCACTCGTACGGGTTCACTTTTACGAATAAGGAGCAAGGTGGGTAACATCGACCCCTAGACTACAGGTAAGTTTCCAGAGGTGCTTTTGCCAACACGACGCAAGAAAATGCACTCCGCTATTTGCGGCAAACCTCACGAAAACAATGTCGGATGCAAGAAAATAGATCGACCACCCCGTGCGTCATGTTGTCGACGATGTTTGCGTCTCAAGCCTATACGCAACCAGCGTTTTTTCTACAACGGGTACAAGAGGAAGCACTCTATCATGTTCCAAGGAGTCGTGACGCCAGACGGGCTGTTTGTTGACCTGTACGGCGCAGAGGTTGGAACAAGGCACGACGGCTACTTGCTTGCGCAGTCTGCACTACTTGAGAAGCTACAGACCCACATGAAGATCCCTTCAGGCCACCCGTATTGCTTGTATGGTGATCCAGCGTACGGTCAAACCGATCACATACAGTGCCCTCTTAGTGCATCTGTCAATGGCCCCCTTACGCCCGCGATGAGAAACTTTAACAAGAGCATGAGCCAATGCTGAGTGACGGTCGAATGGGGGTTCAAGGAGATGACTAGCAAGTGGGCCTTCGTTGACATGAAGTGCCAGCTGAAGTTCCTGCTGAGCCCTGTAGCGACGACGTACAAGCTAGCAACACTGTTGTCAAACTTCCACTCCTGCCTGCACGGCGGCAACCAGATTTCACAGTACTGTGGAGTAGAGCCTTCCACGCTGGAAGAGTACCTCAAGGTGTAAGCCTCAGCGGTTTGTCAGGGAAATATGTTGGTCCAATCGCACTTATGGTAGACAGGAAACTTGTTTGTGCCGAAAGGTTACGGCTTGCAAAGGGGGAAGTTGCAGATGGGGATGTAGTATTTCTTCCAATCAGGAGAGGACTTGTACTACCTGGTCATTTGGTTAAGAAGGAGGTTTCCGCACGAGGGCTAGGCAGTGTGAGAATTGTCACCACACCAAAGATCCCCAAAGGTGGTTTAGTTCCTATTCCACCGAGTGCTTCTGTGTTTGTTGGACAGCTGAGATGACGTCTGGCCTTTGCATCTGTTTCGTGCGGGGCTGGTTGCATGCACGATATAATTCGGGAGTACTGCAAGTGGTTTTATTTCGTTTCTATTGCTGCCCCTTAGCCGTTCCACCTCCTTCCCCACCCTCTGTGGAACTTCGACTCAACACGCCAACGCCAGT